CCCATGGTCCCTGTGTGTGTTGTAAAGTAGTCACCGCTCCAAGCTCACTCCTGTGATGGACTACAATCTCAATACAAATTAGTAAACTAAACATGAGATTGTAGTCCAACACAGGAGTGAGCTTGGAGCGGTGACTACTCTACAACACACACAGGGACCATGGGGAACAAAAGTAGCCCCTCTCCAGAAGGAAGAACAGTGTCAGCACCAATTCAGAGATGATTTGAGGATCTACAGCTGAGTGATACACACATAAGATACATTGTTGTTAATAGTTAAGGTACTTGAACGTAGTTTTAAGATGTAACTCCTGAGTTTAGTGTCACTAGGCTTTGAAAATGAAAGATAGAAGCTGATTAATGGCCACGCACAGCTGCTCCAGTCTTAGTAAATTCCACTCACAGTGTACAGTAAATGCATTGCAATGAAATATGTTATTTTTGCAAAAGTAGAGTTTTCATTCACATTAAGAATGTTTAAATATGGGTCTGATGTTTATCGTCTGAAAGAAGAAGCTTCTTACACATGGCAAACCCTCACAGTCTACTTTTCATGTCTTCTCCCCCACAACCCTATATAACAGCATGAACAGGAGAAGTTTTTTGGTTGCCAGGGTGAACAATAAAAGCCTTCACATATGAACATTAGGGTCTTGGACTCGTGCTGCTTTCAGTATTGAGGACAATTCCAACAATAGGGACATGAATAAAGTGTCACACAACTGCTGATCACATGACCCCAAATAGGTACTACATCTCCCAATATAAATAAATAAAACTTCAGTACAATATACGGGGAAACTGCCATCCCAACCACCACTATGTGGGAACACCTATTCCAACCAGTGTTCCAGAATTCTCTCCTCGGACACACTTATACTGGAAGATATCTTACCAATCGGTTCCAGATGGCCCCTTGTTTGCTCTGCTGGTCCGGGGTCAAGCGTACATACTGAGGAGTAACAAGCACATTGCCTGATAGATCCCATAGTGATGAGGCAGAGGAGCCCACGCCTGAAGGAGGAGAGAAGAGAGAACCATCATCATTTGTTAATATTCCATTGCATATGCAACTACCTCAAACATGGGGGCTGCCACTGCTTTCCTTCAGAAGATGCTCCGTGCCTGGCTGTCTGTACCTTGCATGGTTTCTGAATCACTGACCCAGAAGAAGCGAGTAATATCAGAAGTCCTGATCCGTCTTGTAGCACTGGGGTCCCCGCTTCAAATCTCGGTCAGGACACTATCTGTGTGGGTTTACTCTATGTACTCTGGTTTCCTCCCACACTCCAAAGACATGCTGGAAGGTTAACTGGCCCTTGTATATGTATGTGAGATGGGGACCTTAGATTGTGAGCTCCTTGGGGGCGGGGACTGATGTGAATGTAAACAGCATCAATTGTTGGCACTATATAAATAAATCTGCACGCTTGTTCTTGGTCATTGACTGAAAAAGCTGCCAGCACCACCCTCATCATCTCCACCACCAACATCATATCCCCTCATCTCCACCGCCACCATCATTCTTCAACATCATCTCCCTCAACACCGCTGTCACCATCCTCATCTCCATTTTCCCCACCACCATTATCCCGGCTCATCTCCGCCACCATCCTCTTCCTCCTCATCTTAACCATCCTTCCTCCTCCTCATCATCTACCCTCATCTCCACCGCCGCCACCACCACCACCACCACCACCATCCTTCCTCCTCATCATCATATACCCTCATCTCCACTGCCACCATCCTCCTCATCATCTCCCCTGATCTCCGCAGTCATCATCACCTATGCCACCATCCTCATGTCCGCCGCCGCCACCGTTCTTTCTCATCATCTCCCCTCATCTCCGCCCCACCACCCTTCCTCATCATCTCCCCTCAGCGCTGCCGTCTTCGTCGCTTTCATCATCACATCTGCCACCATCCTCCTCATTATCACCTCCGTCGCCGCCACCCTCCTCAACATCGTCTCCCCTCATCTCCGTCGCCGCCACCCTCCTCAACATCGTCTCCCCTCATCTCCGTCGCCGCCACCCTCCTCAACATCGTCTCCCCTCATCTCCGTCGCCGCCACCCTCCTCAACATCGTCCCCCCTCATCTCCGTCGCCGCCACCCTCCTCAACATCATCTCCCCTCATCTCCGTCGCCGCCACCCTCCTTAACATCGTCAAAATCATCAGCATCTCCACTGCCACCATCATCAGCATCTCCCCTCATCTCCGCCGCCACCACCACCATCTACCCTCATCTTCACCACCATGACCACCACCATTCATTTCCTCATCATTGCTTTACTTCCACACAGCACTTCATTCATTCATTCATTCATGATTTCCTCCCAACAGTACTCTCACCTTCCTCCCCTCACCCTGCTCTACCCCCTACACACATTTCCCGGGTCTCCCGGAGCCCTCATGTGATCCCCACAGCTGTGTTATGTAGGTCTCCTTCACTTGTTCTGTCCTACCATCCTGTGCCCGGACCACGCTCACCCTGGTAAGGTTTGCTCAGTGAGTGCTCCCTCTTCAGGTACTCCTCCGTCTGATCGGTACTCACTGAGCTCACCAGCACCGCAACCAACCACACACAGCGGAGCCACCCCGGAGCCTTCCACCTGCCCTTCGACCGAACACTCTGTTGCTCCACAGCCGCCATCTTACTACTCCCGAGTCTAGCTGCCGTGACGCCGATTGGTCAATCAGACACGGGAGCGACGGAGCGTCGATTGGACACCCACGAAGGTTGAAGCACGCCCACTGAGTACGCGACAGCCAATGGGCAAGAGAGCCTGGCAGGACAGAGGAAATTTTGCGGGGTGGTTGGTTGCGCCCAAGATGCCTGGTTACCCGGGCAACTGGGAGCTACAGACCCGGGCTTAGTCTCAGGAGCGTACAGTCTGATGTGAACGTTATAAATTATTCACTTATAATCCAACTGATTACAAAGGGCCGGAGGAAAACTAATCAGCCAACGCGCTTTGTTAGCACTGTGGGCGGGGATGATTTATCTTGTCCTCGGAGCACATTGTCAGTTATCGACACCTGCTGGTAGACTTAGGGAATGACAACTTCAGCTGACAAATAATCTTATTGGTCGGCCTCATCTCACACCTGATTGGGTGAAATTTCCGATTCCTGATTGGTCGCCTGACCCATGCTGGGTGGAAGGCTGCGAGTGTGACTGATAGCGGCGGGCGGTATGGACGGACATGGCGGCAGCTCCTGTCACTCCCAGGGCTGTGAGGGGTGCTGTATGGGAGCAGATGGCGGGGTGAGGGAGACTGTGCAGGAGATGGACTTCCACAGAGGTGAGGACAGCAGGAAGCTCACACAGGGCAGACTGGAACTAGGAACTACAAGTCTCAGCGTGTCCTCACTGAATAACAGCATTGTGACCAGTGTGAGAGTTTAATGGTGGTCTATTCTGGTTATATTTTGCCTTCCCGATCCACAGACACACATCAGGAAATGTTAAATAAAACCCTCTGTTTGCATTAAACGCCTTATTTTAGACCCAATGACGTCATTACTGGGTCTCTGGGCAATGCAGGCAGATCATGACTGGTGGGAGGGGCCGTGTGATTAAGTTGCAATATGAAGGGCCTGCCTACCGCACCGCAGCGGTATGAATGAAGGCTAAATGAACTAATCCTGAATTCCATCCCATAATAAACCTAGACTGTCATTTAAACAGGTATCTGGTCCGCTGCCCTGGATGGAGATCTCACTCGCGTCCAGCGCTTCATCGATAAGGGGACAGGTCCAAACCTGACTGATCACTTTGGCTACACGGCACTGGTGAGACCCGCGGATTCCTCTTATAACAGGCAGTGCGGCCTTGGCGATGACTCCTGGATCAGTCCACATGTGATGATCAGTGACTGGAAAGCCGTCTGAAGGAGATGTGTTTATATTAGGGATGCACCGATACAAGTATGTGGGCAAGTATTCGTACTCGCCCAAATGCTCCCGATCCCTAGCCCAATACTTCTGGTATCACAAAGCCGGGCAGCGAGTCATTACATGGCGCCCAGCTTCCTGATTGGCCAGAAAGCCGGGTCCATGTTCCCTTGTCACCTGGTGACGAGGGAGCATGGAGACGGCTTCCCTGCTAATCAGGAAGCCAGGTGACGAGTCTTTACATGCCGCTTGGCTTCCTTAATGGAACTTCCGGTGTCGGTAGTCGATATTGGCAAGTAGCGAAAAAAAGTATTCGTACTCGGTCCCAAAAAACAGATATTATTATTATACAGAATTTATATAGCGCCAACAGTGTGTGCAGCGCTTTACAATATAAGGAAGACATTACAATACAATTCAAAACAAGATGGTAATGGGCCGTGCCCCTGAGGGCTTACAATCTAAAAGGGAGGGGGAAGTGATACATGAGGAGGGAGCTGTGTGGGGATGAATTGTTTGAGAACGTGATGGTTCAGTGGTTAGGTTGAGGTGGGGTAGGCTTCCCTGAAGAGATGAGTCAAGGTGGGAGATAGACGGACAGGTTGGGGTAAAGAGTTCCAGAGGATGGGAGAGACTCTAGAGAAGTCCTGGAGGCGAGTATGGGAGGAGTTGACGAGGGAGCTGGAGAGCAGGAGGTCTTGGGAAGAGCTGAGGGGACAGTTAGGGTGATACTTTGAGACAAGGTTTGAGATATATCCGGTGGCGGAGTTGTGGATGGCTTTGTAAGTGGTTGTTAATATTTTGAATTGTATCCTCTGGGTGAGTGGAAGCCAGTGCAGGGATTGGCCGAGGTAACGGTGCATCCCTAATTTATATAATGTCACTACATTGCCTCTGTTATATTTTTATATGTTACAATGTAGACTTCCATGCAGGGACTTCGGATCCCCACTAACAATCTTTTCCTGGGAAATGTTGGTTTTCTTATATTAGGATTATAGAACATTAGATCATTCATTAGGCTGAACCTCTTAACCCCTTCATGACTGAGCTGGTTTTCAGTTTCTGTTCATAAATGACTGACACGCTTTTTACATTTTTGCTGTGTGATTCGTCCACGGCATTAATATACTTTCTTACTAAATGTACCCACACATATTATATATTGTTTTTTAGAGGACAGATAGGGCTATATAATTCATGTGTACCTAACTCCTCACTTAGTTTGAATAAAATATTTAAAAAATGAGGAAAAATGTAAAGAAAACACTTTTTTCACAAGTTTTGATAATTGTATTTTATTTATTTTTTATAATAATCATAGTATAAAAAAATATTTATATATAATTTTTATTTTCCTAATTTATTTGTACACTTTGTAAAAAAAAAAAGGGGAAAAAAACTTTTTGTTTTTTTTTGTTTTGTTGTCAGTTGAGGGCTTATTCACACCAAGCGCTTTCCAGGAGCAGAGCAGTTACAGACCGGATCAAAACTGCTTCCAATGGTATTTTGGGCTCTAGTTCACACCGGAGCGTTCAGTTCCAGAGCATGTAAAAAAAACTGCAGCAAGCCCTATTTTTACTGCTCTGGAATGCATGCAAACGCCCTGCAACGCACTGAAAGTCCATTCTAGGCTTTAAAAAAATTTGTGTTTTTTTTTTTTTTTACAAAAACAGCCCGGAATACATCAAAAACGCGGAAAAACCCACTGCACTGCGTGTGCAGAATCTCATGCAGATCTGGTCTGCATTTGGTGTGAACAAGGCCTTAGGCTGCTCCAAACTTAGGAACAGCTAATATTAACCTTAGAGACTGATCCTGACGGCATGTTAGATTCAGATCTCGCTAAGGCTGGGTTCACACCTGGGCGTTTTTCAGCGTTGATCGAAGCGCTGAAAAACGCTCAGCAAGTGAAATCCCATAATTTCCTCTGGAACTGAACGCTGCGATGTGAACTAGAGCCCAAAATACCATTGGAATACATTGGACGCAGTTTTGATCCGGTCTGTGACTTCTCTGTTCTGCTCCTGGAACGTGCTTGGTGTGAACAAAGCCTTAAATAACTCGTCACATACAGTATGGCCAGTCATATAGGCACTTTGTGGTGGGACGGAAAGTGTACGTCTCCCGTCACGAAGGGGTTAAAGTGGACCTTTACCCCCTTTGGGTAAAAATCACATCAGTGTGCAGCTCTCCATGCTGATATAAAATAATCTCACATTCATTAGTTAAACAAACTTGTTTTTATTTTACTTACAATTGTTTTTCCACTTCCTGGTCCTCTTTGGCACAAATTATGTAATGTTCCCAAGCGTTGCATCCTGGGAAGGTTACATCAGCAGAGCATTGCTGGGAAATCTCATCTGTAATCTCACGAGATCTCAGGGAAAGGCATTTTCCTCCCCTGAGATGATGTGCATGGTCACAGAGTTCCAGGAAGTAAAGGGAGATCTAGTAATCTGCCCTTAGTAAACATGGCCACTGCCAGAAGACTAGGGAAGAAAAGAGAAATAAGGTATGCACAAAATAAAAAGCCGGCAATTATCTAGAAGTATGTGTGTGTAGATTGTCATCACTAAACATTTCTAAAGGCGACTTTGTTGTCATTTTGAAGTTATGGGTAAAGGTCAACTTTAATTGCACTGTATTTATTAGGGATGTCCCGATACCGATGCTAGCATCGGAATCGGGCCCGATACAGGGCATTTTGACAAGTACTTGTCAAAATGCCTTGATGCCTAGCGCCGAAGCTTGCGCTGTTTTATTTTTTCTTACCCTCCGTGGTGGCTGGGGTCCTCTGGGAAGGCTGGAGGAGCGTCACGTCACTGCTGTGGGCGGAGCTCCAGGTGGGGTCTAATGTAGTTGGCCGGCGACCTGGAGCTCCACCCGTAGCAGTGACGCGACACTCCTCCGCTTTGCCGCTCAGCGCCGCCGACGTCGTCCTCACATGAGAGGAAAAAAAGCTATCGGCAGCTCGTGAGGCACCTCCATTGCACAGGCACCATCAAGTAAGGGCCTGTGTTCAAATCATGTTTGGAATCGGATGGATCATGTTACTATCTATGGATCATGATTTTAAACTAATACTCTATATGAAGTACACACTATTGTACACACACTATTAGTTTAAATCATGATCTATAGTACATACATAATATGTAGTTGTACTATAGATCATGATTTAAACTAATAGTGTGTGTACTATAGTGTGTACTTCATATAGAGTATTAGTTTAACATTTTAAAGTTTTATTGCCATATACTATGATTGCCTTTCATACCCACATCATGAATTACTATACTGCCATAGCACCTCTGTCAACCTTTTACAAATACTGTCTGAACTAGGAAAGCTTGTTAATAGAATAAACTTAAAGGCAATACTTCTGAGCCACCGAACTGCTAGATTCTGTTTGGAGGTGTGATGCTATAGAGAGTTCCTATAAAATGTGTTATCTAATCAGATAGTACTGTACTATGGACTGTACTTTACTATGGATCATGATTAACCTAATCATGTTATCAGGGGCGTAACTAGAAATCACAGGGCCCGCATAGAAAAAGTATTGGTAATTGGTATCGGCAAGTACATGAGGGCCAGTACTTGTACTTGGTCTTAAAAAAGTGGCATCGGGACATCCCTGGTATTTATAACTGGATGTTTCTTTTATTTCTCCCCCAGCACTATAGCTGCCGGAATGGCCATCTGCCTGTGTGTAGCTTTCTTCTGAGTGTTGGAGCTGACAGCAATGCTCAGACACATGGAGGCAGCACAGCTATGCACCGGGCAGCGTACTGCGGTCACCTCCAGGTGGTGCAGCTGTTACTGAAATACGGCGCAGACCCCATGAAGAGAGACTCCGATGGGAGGACCGTTCTCCACAAGGTAAGCGCACCAAAACTACGGGAAACCTTAGCAAAGTGTATGAACTATGGTGCTGGATCATTCCTGGCAGCCAGTGCAATGAAAGGTTAGTCTTTCCTGTCATTGCAAGTGGAAATACAGACTGTATTCATTAGAAACTTCGTGCTGCCTCTTAGATTGTCTTCCCGGCTCCCTAATGAGCTTCTGTGTCCCGCTTGGCAGTGGTCACTATAATTATTTTTTTCCTGTTCTTGTGCAGGACACATTGGGGTGACCTTACTCAAACTGGAGCAGACAGAAGCTGGAGCAGATGTGCATAGTAACCAATCAGCTTCTATCTTCAGCTTGCTCTGTTAAACTTTGAAATTGAAAGCTAGCTGATTTGGTTGCCATGGGCAACTGCTCCAGATTCCATCTGCTGCAGTCTTAGTAAATTCTAGGGATGCATCGTTACCGTTTTTTCGTTATCGAGTATCGATATTTTTTTTTGGTACTCGCCAATACCAAATACCGATATCGGAAGTCCCATTAAGGAAGCCAGGCTGTGTGTAGTGAGGAGAAAGCATGGAGTCTGCTTTCTGGCCAATCAGGAAGCCGAGCGCTGTGTAATTGCACGTTGCGCGGCTCCCTGATTGGTCGAGAAGCTGGCCAATCAGGAAGCTAGGCAACATGTCATTACACGTCACCAGGAGACGAGGGAGCATGATGCCGGCTTTCTGGCCAATCAGTAATTGTAATGGTACGCTGCCCGGCTTACTGATTGGCCAGGAAGCCGGCTCCACGCAAGTGACCAAGAAGCCGGCTTCCCAGCCAATCAGGAAGCCGGGCAGCGTGTAATGCCTCACTGCCCGGCTTCCTGATACCGGAAGCTCAAGTATCGGGCTAGGCATCGAAGCATTTGGGCGAGTACTCATTCTCGCCTAAATACTTGGCATTGGCACCGATACTAGTATCGGTGCATCCCTACTAAATTCCTTTCATTGTTTTCTTCACTGGGCCTTCCTGTACGAGATTCAGCTTCTCGTTCTTAGTGATGATTAGGCTCTGGGTGGGAAACCTTTCTGGGGAGGCAGGGTAGTTACCGATCATGTCATTAATAAAGCGGCTACAGCAGAAATAAGAATAAAAGAGGCTTCCCCCTATCTGTTCCTAACCCTATTATTCCTTACATAGCCTAACTTCTCTTATACCCCCCCCAAAGAAAATCCAAGCTCTTGCAGGGGAATTCCACTTTCCCAGGCAAATTTGGGAAAATTGAATTTAGCCCCCCTACCCTCAATCCTATGCTCTTACCTATAAACAAACTCTCCTATTCCCCCATGCAATGGTTGCCACCCATGCTGGACTATAATCATGTCTGTTTTTGTCTGTTCCAGGGCAGATCGGTTCTCCTGCACATAAGATCTGCGATGCCGATCTGCCCTGGAACAGCTGAGAAAGCGTTGGAATTCTTCACCTATTGGTGGTCACATATTCCACCGCTGAAAAAGTGGGCGGGATTACGTTAAAATGTGTGACCGGTCACACATTCTAATGCAGTCACAATCTTTGATAGAACACCGTAATCTAATAACGTGGCACTATGTCATTTCCATGTAAATTTCCCGGTTGCTGGAAATCTGTGGTTTGGCATTGCTTTTTCATAATTAAATATATGACTCAAAGAAGCCGGCTTCCCAGCCAATCAGGAAGCCGGGCAGCGTGTAATGCCTCACTGCCCGGCTTCCTGATACCGGAAGCTCAAGTATCGGGCTAGGCATCGAAGCATTTGGGCGAGTACTCATTCTCGCCTAAATACTTGGCATTGGCACCGATACTAGTATCGGTGCATCCCTACTAAATTCCTTTCATTGTTTTCTTCACTGGGCCTTCCTGTACGAGATTCAGCTTCTCGTTCTTAGTGATGATTAGGCTCTGGGTGGGAAACCTTTCTGGGGAGGCAGGGTAGTTACCGATCATGTCATTAATAAAGCGGCTACAGCAGAAATAAGAATAAAAGAGGCTTCCCCCTATCTGTTCCTAACCCTATTATTCCTTACATAGCCTAACTTCTCTTATACCCCCCCCAAAGAAAATCCAAGCTCTTGCAGGGGAATTCCACTTTCCCAGGCAAATTTGGGAAAATTGAATTTAGCCCCCCTACCCTCAATCCTATGCTCTTACCTATAAACAAACTCTCCTATTCCCCCATGCAATGGTTGCCACCCATGCTGGACTATAATCATGTCTGTTTTTGTCTGTTCCAGGGCAGATCGGTTCTCCTGCACATAAGATCTGCGATGCCGATCTGCCCTGGAACAGCTGAGAAAGCGTTGGAATTCTTCACCTATTGGTGGTCACATATTCCACCGCTGAAAAAGTGGGCGGGATTACGTTAAAATGTGTGACCGGTCACACATTCTAATGCAGTCACAATCTTTGATAGAACACCGTAATCTAATAACGTGGCACTATGTCATTTCCATGTAAATTTCCCGGTTGCTGGAAATCTGTGGTTTGGCATTGCTTTTTCATAATTAAATATATGACTCCGTTGCCAAATTCTCTGCACAGGATGTTGCCTTTTAGGTGGCTGCTTTTCTTTTGGTAATTCATTTACAAAGGAGACTCGGTAGCTTTGAGATTGTTTCGCTCTGAATCTTGCTGTGAGATCTTGAATATTTTATGGCTGCCTTTCTCAATTTCTGTTTGTTTGCCCCACAGGCAGCCGAGGGAGGTCAGTGGGAGATGTGCCATTTCCTCCTCCATCACTATAAAGGGCTCAGCGATATACAAGACTGTAGAGGTCAAACTGCCGCAGATCTGGCCCCATCCACGGTGGCTGATGTTTTCTCCATATAAATTCTCAGATGGCATCAAGTGTGTTTCATCTCAGTGGAAGTCTCATGCCTTCAGTGTGCACAATTCTCTCTTGTATGCATTTGAAAACATTTAATTATAACATGGAAGTAAAAAAAAATACCCATTGAAGCAAATGGAAATGGGTCAGATGCACCTGTCATAGGTTTCCAATGCACTTAAATGCAGAACCCCAATGAACATGGGATGCAGGACATCCGAGTGTGCCTAGTAAACACAAACAGGGCAGAGACAGGTTATGTGATCCTTCCAGGCACAGCTCAAGATACCCAGAAATCTGGAAGGAGGTGAAGGTGTTTATATCACTAAGTGATTGGTACATGATGAGCTACACAATCCTTCTTCAATGTTTGAGGAATGACGACTGCCAATCAAGAGTTTAGGACGTGATGCTGAATTTCATCAAGTAGAGACAAGCTTCAGTGAAAATCTGATACAGATTCAAATCCCCTCCACAAAAATGTGATTGGGCTTTAATATGTAATCTGTGTGTGTGTGTGTGTGTTAATTGCAATGATGCTTTGCTGTGGGTAGAGAATATGGTTTACTTCAGTCCTCAATTATGTTCCAGTGATTTCCCTCATCCTCCACTGAAAGCAAACTTCCAACTCCTTAAAGGGTCAGTCCACTCAAATCAATATTGCAGTGATAGATGGAGACTGGTGGAATGACTTCCTCGCTGCTAAGAGTATGTAAAGGTATGTGCTGTTGTGAAAGGCTGAATACAAGTGAACCTTTTGCATTGTCCTGTGTGGCCAAAGCAAAACTGGACTTCCAGGACAAATCTGCAAAACGATTGCCAGCCGTGACTTAAGTGCCCTGGGTATATTAGCCACTTTTCTGCCCCCATCATTTTAGCAAATACAGTAGAACAGAGTATTAAAGATGAACTCTGGGCAAAACTATTATTAACCCTTGCAGTGGGGCTATGCCTGCACTGCCAGGGTTAACTGCTTGCTTTGGTCTAGGGAGGAAAATAACAAAGTTACACTCAACCGACCCTTAGAGATAGCCGGCTGTGACAGTAGAGCTGCAGCTAACGATTATTTTCAAAATCGATTCGTTGGCCGATTATTAAGTTCGATTCATCGGATAAAAAATAAATGTTAAAAAATTTCTCCAGTGATGGACTACTAGTTTGTATTGAGATTGTAGTCCATCACTGGAGCAAGCTTGGAGCGGTGGAGGTAAAAAAAAGAGTGTGGTGTGCAATATAGTGAAATGGAAAGTGTAAAATTATACAGCAATGAAAGCAGAATGGCACCGGCTATAGAGGACTACAAAACCCAGCAATAGTACATTATACAACACAATGCAGAATACAACCAGCTATAGTGGAATACAACAAATCCCAGCAACAGTACATTATAGCTGGCGGTATTCTGCATTGTGCTGTATAATGTACTATTGCTGGGTTTTGTAGTCCTCTATAGCTGGTGGTATTCCGCTGTATAATGTATTGCTGGAATTTGTAGTCCTCTATACAGCGCAATGCAAAATACCAGCAGCTATATAGAAATACAACAAATCCCAGCAATAGTACATTATACATTCAGTGTATAATGTATTGCTGGGATTTGTATTCCTCTATAGCTGATGGTACATTGCTCTGTATAATATACAGTACAGCACCATGTACCATCAGCTATAGAGGAATACAAATCCCAGCAATACATTATAGAGTACCATGTGTGGGGAAAGTGCAGGCTTACCTGAGCAGTCTTCCAGCAACTTGCTTCTGAGATCGGGCCTGTCATCCCCCCACACCCGCTCCTCCTTACTTCTCCCCGCGTCTCTGTGCCGATCGTGGATGCGGGTGGTGGGGAGGAGGTGCGGCGTGTGGTTGCGGGCGGGTCTGGCAGCGGCAAGTGTGAGGTGGGGAGAAGGTGCGTGGCGCAGCATGTGTGGAGCCGTGAACAGGGCCAACTAATCGGAATCCAATTAATCGACGATTGAAAAAGTTGACAACTTTTTCAATAATTGATTGAGTTGTTGCAGCCCTATGTGACAGCACTCCCTCCTGCCTGTCTCCTCCTACGCTCCATCGCCATGTCATTTAGCATTTTAGACGAGCAACTGTCAATGGCAACCAATCAGCTTCTCTCATTTTCAAATCTTACTTAAAGAAACTGTAGAGCAGCTGATTGGGGGACATTTCTTGAAACTGGAGCAGTTGCCCATGGCAACAAAATCAGCTTCTCTCTTTAGTTTGTTCAAGTTAGATTTGAAAATGAAAGACAGAAGCCGATCGGTTGCCTAGATGAAAACAAGCAGTTAACCCTTCCTTGCATTGCAGGGGTAGACCCAGTGCAAGGCTTACTAAGTTTTGCCCGGAGTTCTTCTTTAAGGTGAACGATGAAATGTGTAGACATCCATTTAAAAAAAACAAAAAGTCAACAGATTAGTAATTTATCCAACAGAAGATCCCATAAATCATCGCCTGCTTACATACCTTGTAGATGGGGCTAATATAAACTGTTACTTTCAACTGCAAGTTCTCCAGGTCATGTTTTATGGCTTCCACTGCCCCATAAAATGACAGCTCTGTTGTGTTTGTTTTTTTAAATAGATGATGGACCGGCGTCTTTTTTCAACCTCAAGTACTATGTAACCATGTCTAACTGCGTGCTTCTAATTGGAGTCCGGACCAGATCTGCAAATGCAGTACAGTGCGTTCCGGTGCATCTTTTCTTAGCTTATATTGAATTTCAGGTGCTGTCTTTGCATGCGTTTTGGTGTGTTTCAGACCAGAAAAAATAGTACATGCAGCTTTTTTTTTTGCCCCGCACTGGAACGGACTGCACTGGTGTGAACCAGGAATGCATTGGGATGCATTTCAGGTGCGGACATAAACTGTTCGAGCCTGGACATGATGTGAACAAGCCCTCAAGGATCTAGAAGCTTCTGACGAAGGGGTCCTGTGAGGCTCTGAAACGTTGCAAAATACCATATAGTCACTCGCACTCCGTTAGTAGATAGCAGTCAATCTTCTTTATTGCCTGAACATGATGTCACATACACAAAGCTTTGTGTATATGACTGTTCAGTCAATAAAGATTGACTGCTATCTACTAACGGAGTGCATTGTGACTTTATGGTATTTTGCATTTGATGTGCAGAGGCATTCGCTGTCACTTTCGGCACCCCCCAGTTTTCTTTTGGGCTTTATCCGGTCAGGAGTGCAATGGGATCTACTACATTCTGAAACCTTGCATTCACATGGCAAATCTTCAGGTCAAACCATATTCCATTATGCAGCACCACAGCCTCAGTTTTCTTCCAATAAGATGGATCCCAGGCGCTTACACCATGACTAATATATCAAACACGCACTGCACATTAGGATAAAATGTCTTTGTTAATGCTTCCAATTTCCACTTCCCCATACCCCGATTAGCTTAATACAAAATAAAACATATCTTCTCTATCTCCTAAAAAGTGTTAATAACCCGACACATTCGCATTTTCAGTCTTTCAGTCCTCCCATCAGCAGTGCGGCTTCCGCTAACACTTTGCCTTTCTGTACAACTTCCTCTGGACGGAAATGCCGGGTAATGGCAAGAAATGTTCACACTGCAAGTGGTGATGTTCCTGTGACCGGCAAGGGAACTTCACTTTTATCCAATGTATGTTCACTTGAAATGTCACTTTGCACTGAAAAAAAGAAATGGCACCACCAGTAAGGGACTGTTTGAGACATTTTTTCAGTGCTACTTCCGAGTCTCTGATCCCAGGTTCTTGGTGAGGTAAGGGGTAGTGATGATCACTCAGCTCTCATCTGTATTCCAGCGCTCTGTCTCCCTTCCATCATCAGTTCTGGAAGATAAAACAGACTGCTCAATAACTACAGTACATAGCCTCTTAGAGAAAGGAACTTTGCTTTAAAAGTTTAAAAAAAAAAAGTGACACAAATGCCAAAGCAAGCTAAGACTCCTCAAGTCCCACAGTCTGTCTGACCTACACGTTCATAGCTGTGTGCATTCACCTCCGCTGTGTCTCTTCTCTCGGCCGAGCATCTCTACTGAGCATGCGCCCGCTCCATCATCCTGCTCGGCCACTCGAGAAGCTCCAGAATCTTCAGATGGGAGCGAGCGGCAGAGACACAGGTAAGTATTGACCTATTTGGTAACTTTTTTAATTACTTTGTTTTGCATATATCTACCGCTTGCTAGCAGTACATATATGCAAAAAAAAAGTGACTAACTGCTTCCCGGGCGGCCATTGTACATAAACAGCCGGCCGGGAGCTTCCTGGATGTAACAGGCCTTGTATACGGGCGCACAACACACGCATGCAAACATGCATCAGGGGCACATGCCTGCGAAAGCGACGATTGCGCCCATTACGCCGAACATGTTATGTATCGCTGCGAAAGTCACAGTGAGAGCAATCATTTTAGGGCCATCAATCACTGATAACACTAAACTGATGAGCTGTAAAAGCTTTTAATGCGTCGCCTATGGCCAATTTTGAGTATGGTAGTTTTTTGTGATTTCGCGAGTGCGCGCAATTTTTAAGCTGGACATGTTTGGTGTCTATTTAGCCGTCGTGACCCCATCTTTTATATTTTACCAAAATAATTGGGTAATAATAATTGTTTCCTAACAAATGTAAAAAAACTTTCCCGAAATATAGTAAAAAATAAACCCGCCCCCCCCGTGGTGATTAAATACTACCAAAAGAAAGCTCTATGTGTCCCCAAAAAATGGTATAAAATTAATTTCAGTACAGCGTTGCATGACGGAATAAATGTCAGTCAAAAGTACCGCAGCGCTGAACACTGAAAAATGGCCTGGCCAGGAAGGTGGTCTAAACACCTGGGCAGCAAGTGGTTAATAGTAGAGTAAGTTGTGTCTGAGCAGTAAGTTCAGGTAAAGAGAAACCTGTCGAGAGAAAAGGAAAAAACAGACTGCCATTGGTGATCATCATTTGAGAATACTAGCTGCATGGCTGTCTCCATTTTCAATACTTTGAGTCACTAACCTGGAACAAATATGCAGCCAGAAAGTCTGATCAGTACATTTGTTCCAGTTGAGTTGCCATTGGATCATTACGACAGTCGGCCAACTAGCATTTCAAGAAGAAAGGGTAAGCATGGCAGCCTACAGAGTTCTCTCAAAATGTTTCCTGTAAATCAGGTGTATCAAAACCTCATCCATCCAGCTCCAGTCCTAAAAGGCATTACAAGACTGACAGCCACAGGCATGACTTCCAGAGGTAAGATGAAGATTGTAGTTTCACCACAGCGGCAGGGAGGAAGTTTGCTTTAAATGAACCAATGTGTCCATACATTACTACAGCTAGTACTTATCTACTGAGACTAAATGATGGCTTCAGAGAGCACTATAGGTATCATGGGCACTTTACCACAAGTGTATACCTTGGTATGGAAACGTGCAGAATGTGTGTACTGTGCGGGGAGCTGACAATTTTATTATGCTTTTGCAGTACTTGGATGGCACAAGGTATCATTTTAACTAGGGTTGCACAGATGCCAAGTACCGATACTTTTGAGCTCCAAGACTAGACTAGAGAAAAATTAAAAAATTAGGAGGCAGCTGTCATTTGTAAGGAGCACACGGAGCTCCTGGGATTTGTACATCTCTGTTAATGTATGATTTTGTTTTTATAAATATAAATAAAGGGATGCACAGATACCAGTTTTGCGAGTACTGGTACTTGCCAAGTACTTACAAGTACGAGTACTGATACATTTTTGTTTATTGTCATGTGACAGTTTTTCTAAAACAATACAGACTAATGATTTCAGGACAGTGGTGGAGCGCCAGAGTCAGGTTCCAGCTGCAGCCCTGGTAGTTCTCATGAAAATGCCAAGTATCTGCACTGGTACTCGAAAAGTATCTGTGCATCCCTAATTTTAACACTCTGATCAGGTCTATAGTGTATGCTGTTTGAAATGGTGAAAACTGTGATTGTAAATGTATCACTAAAGTGTTGCAGGCTATGTTACAGACCAGAAGAATACCGAGGTATGAACATTTTCAGATGAGCTTATAATTAAGCCATGCCACTTACTTGCGTCTGTAAATTCCCCATACTTAATGCAGCGTTTCCCAACCATTTTTTCAGTCACGGCACCTTATGAAGTGCAAAATCTCGAGCCACCCCAGCCTAAAAATGTCAAAAACAATAAAAAAAAAAACAACCCCTTATTGTAGACAGGCGGTCTGGTATAGGTTTTAAGTAGGGACCCCAGGCAAAACAATATGTGGATGGAGTTTCCTCTTTTACATCAGAAGCGCCCACCACCCCTTTAGCAAGGCACCCTGACAAAGCCAAAAAGCCCCCCTGGTTGAGAAAAGCTGCCTTAAATGTAATCATCAGTGACGTATTTCAGACATTAGTCAGAACGATGGGTTGAACAAACATACTAGACCCTTCGTGGTTCTAGGCAAACTGCTGTGATGAGGAATTGTGATATATGAGGGACTGATCCATACACAATCACAGTGAAAGGGAGTGCTAGCATGGATCTCTTTAGTGAGAAGTCGTCCAATTCACAAAGCTCGGTGTTATGAGAGTAGAAGTTCATTTATCTGTTCTTATTTTGCGTGCTGAAACATGCAATTCACAAAGGCTGGAATGGTTATTGTACACTCAGACTGATGTGCGTTCTGAATGCGTTGAACAAGCATCACAGACTTCTGATAAAAGAAACATTTTGGGTGGCATTTTAACCCTTTGGCAGTGTATGTTGGTGGCAGATGAACTGTAGGATGACTGATTTACTTTCACCACATAAGGAATATCTCCCCTGCATGCTAATTTCACAGTGATCATTAATGGAATAGCTGCATAATCATTTTTTTAATGAATATTTGAGTTATCATTTGGATTTATACATCTCCATCTGCCAACAAACAGCATGGGGAGGGCAAGCAATTCTCCTGACCACCCAAAATCTGTTTTGATATTAAATTTGTTGCATGGAACGATCCAATTGCACTACAACCCCATTGATGGGTGTCTAGAGACATTTGATTTTTTGTGTGTCAGGTGACATTTGGCTATAACAAATCCAGATCTGTAGAAGGACACAAACGTGTGTAGAAAGGACAACTACACCAATCAGCCATAACATTATGACCACTGGCAGGTGAAGTGAATAACATTGATTATCTCGTTACAATGGCACCTGGAAGTGGGTGGCAAAGTAGTCCAAGGTAGGAAAACCAGTGAACTGGTGACAGGGCAGCTCAAATTCTGAAAAATGCTGGTTCCTATAGAAAGATGTCTGAACACACAGTGCATCAATTTGTTGCATATGGAGTTGCGTAGCAAAAGACCGGCCAGGTTGCCTATGCTGACCCAAAATCACCTACAATGGGCATGCAAGCATCAGAAATGGACCACAGAGCAATGGAAGAAGGTGGCTTGGCATAATGAAGCACATTTTATTTTACATCATGGGGTGCATGTGTGTCGCTTACCTGGAGACGAGATGGCACCAGGATGTACTATGGGAACAAGGCAGTGTGATGCTTTGGGTAATGTTCTGCTGGGAAACCTTGGGTCCTGCCATTCATGTGGATGTTACTTTGACATGTACCACCTACCTAACCATTTTTGCTGACCACGTAGACCCCTTCATTGAAACAGTAATCCTGATGGCAGTAGTCACTTTGTCAGGATAATGTGCCCTGTCACACTGCTAAAATGGTTTCAGGAATACAACGTGATTCAGGTGTTGACTTAGCTTCCAAATTCTCCAGCTCTCAATCCAATTGAGCATCTGTGGGCCATACTGGAAAAAAAAGTCCGATCCATGGTAGCCCCACATATCTTACAGGCCTTAAAAGATTTGCTACTGACAGCTTGGTGTCACATACCATCACAGGTCTAGTGGAATCCGTGCCTCAATGGGTCAGGGCTGTTTTGGCGGCAAAAGGGGGACCCACTCAATATTAGGTGGGTGGTCATAATGTTATGGCTGATCAGTGTACATCCTGCGTTCTTCTGCATCATGTAACATGACAAGATGAAAAAAAGTTCCATTTATTTTTACCTCATTTCATCATACACTATATTGACAAAAGGTATTGGGACACCCCTCCAAATTAGAGGTGCAACAAAATGGAAATTTCAAAACCAAACTAAAAAAAATTGTCAGGCCGAACCCAAAAAATTTTTTTTACATTTTTTAAAATGTTTTAAATATTTTTTTTATTTATTTTTTATAAACTTAATTTTTCTTATATGTATTTATTAATTCATTTTTTATTAAATATTGTTATTTTTAACTTTACTTTTAGTGGCTTCGAGAAAATATTAGGGGTCTAAGCAGGCCAAAATCTGTCAGAACAGCAACCCTAAAGGAGGTGATAAATCTACACTTCAATACAAGTGACGAAAGGACATTTTCCTCTTTGTGAATTGCATTTCAAGCATATTATCGTTCCGGTTGTTAAAATGATGTAGGTAAAATAACGACTGAGTAGTCAAATAACATCTAATATGATGTTACACCAATACAAAAAAAAGAAATACTAGAGAAGTAGCACTATTGAGTTTTGTGAATGGACTACCTTTACACAGCAACTATATCATGTGTGATATCAATTAAATAACGAAAAAGAAAAAAAAAGCTTTGTCAATTGACTTTAAAATGTAACATTTACCAATCTACAATTATTTTCATGGACATTTTAGAATTAAAAGGAAAGCCTAGTTCATGCCACACTGGAAGCAGCAAAGCAGATATATCCAGCCCTTGGAGGGCGCACATTAAGCTTAGCGTACATGCACTTAAAAGTTTGTTTCCACTTTTGCAGCCATATTTGGAGAACACCTACTTTACATTTGTTACATGTTCCCGTTCACATTGTGTAACTTTATTTAGAAATTGCAGCCTACCTTTGTTGAAGGTGTTTCTGCAAACTCCAGCACTGAACATTCCTGCTTAGTTCTCACTGTCTGGGGGGAGTTTTATTTTAAATAATTAACCCCGGTCTGTACTGCGCTGGCAGGTTTCATTATCACTTCTGAACTAGATGAACAGGATTGTCCGTCAGTTAAGCTGACCATACACTTGAAGATTTCTGACCGAAAGATCTTTCTTTACCACCCGATAATACCATCAGACACATGACAAATGTCAAACAAAATATTGTTCTATTCCTAACAGTCTATTTTGGAATTAATGGGAGTTTCCCCAACGAAAACCACATTCACGGTTAGAATTTCAATCAATCGAGAAACATTTTCCATCTTGCTCCGAGTTTTTTATTCATCCCTACGGTCTAAATCAATCGCCGTTAGCTAATAGAAAGTCGAACGAAAGATCTTTCATACAGAAGTCTACTAGTGTATGGCCAGCTTTAAGCTTTGAAAATGATTGGTTGCCATGCATCGCTTGTTCCAGATTTTGTCTGTTTTGATAAACTCCCCTCTCTGTATGTTAAAGAACTATGAGGCGAGTGAAAATCACTCCTCCTCATAGTTTGAGCCGACGTGTGACAATGAAACTGTCACACGTCGGCTCAATAGATCGGAAGTGAGCGAACACATACCGTCGCTCGCTCACTTCTCGATCATCTCCCTGCAGTGAGCTGTGGTAGTCAGTCACGGCTCCATGCAGGGATTTCTCCCTCCCCGCTCCGATCCTCCAGTGCTGACTGGAGGAACGGACGGGGGAGGGGGCGGGTACAGCTGGCTCTGCCTCTAGATAGGCAGAGCCAGCTATCACTCACGCAGCTTGGTGAATCTCGACAGCATTGTCGGGATCCATCCCGGCTGCAGTGGTCTCAGTATACTGCGAGCTGTAGCTCGCGATATACTGAGCTTTGGGTCACCGGAGGAGGTTAGTATGTGTCCTCCCTTGACCCCCAAAGAGAACTATGGGGAAAAACACTGACCCCATAGTTCTCTTTTAGTGAACTTTAAAATGTCCCTTAGTCTGCCCCCTTACCAGGTCACAGACATCTATTCTAACCACCAGAAGCTTTCTGTATAGTCCTATATATAATCCTGCTCCAAACAGCTAAAAAAGGTAAGAATTGTTGTTTTTTTTATTAATATTTTTTAGGTATGCTGAGTAAATAGGAACACAAATATTAAGAGAGGGCTTCTCAAATATGGCTGCAAAAGTGGAAATACACTAAGAGTATATTCTTTAAAGAGGAACTTTACCCACATTTTCTATGTAAAAAACAAAAGACACCTTTGGAAATGTTTAGTAGCGACAATCTACAAACACATACTTCTAGATAATTGCCGGATTTTTATTCTTTGTATATCTTATTTTTCTTTTCCTCCCCATTCTCACAGCGGCCATTTTAACTAAGGGCAGATAAATCCATCTCCCTTTACTTCCTGCAACTCTGGCACATTTGACTAGAACATGTGACCATGCACATCAACTCAGGGGAGGAAAATGCCTTTCCCTGAGATCTCGTGAGATCTCCCAGCAATGCTCTGCTGATGTAACTTTCCCAGGATGCAATGCTTGGGCACATTACATTATTTGTGCCAAAGAGGACCAGGAAGTGGAAAAAAAGAAATTGTAAGTAAAATAAAAATATGTGTTTGTTTGACTAATGAATGTAAAATGATTTCATATCAGCGTGCAGAGCTGTATGCTGATGTGATTTTTAGTCAGAGGGTAAAGGTCCACTTTAAGTGCATCTCTAGAGTCTATTGCAAAACTAAAAAAATAAAACAAGGAAAGGAGCCATGATAGGTCCTTGTATAAAGCATTCAATTTAGAGCCGGGTGATCTTGCAGCAAGCAGGGGGTATATAGCACGTGCACTGCTAATTAGGAAGGAGATTATTAGGTTTATAGTTACCTCTGTATTTACCAGCACGGCCAGCTATTAGCTGACACTCTCTATTGTGCCCATAACAGCAGTGTTGATTAAAAATGCTGGAAATAGACAGTGTTACAAAAGATGAAGAGAGGGGAGGCCAGTCAATTTTACAACATACACAGGTCTTCCTGGTGCCAGTTGCAGGCAAATTACTCTGCATGCTGGCAGGAAAGAAGACTCAATTCTCAGCACCGGCAGAAAGTAACACAATATGAAAGAAATGAAAAAAAACAATGTTGGATTATCCTAAGAGGTGAAAGTATACTACATGATGCTAAAGTGATTCTAGCAGTTCAAATCACAATAAACTAGAGAAAATATGTGATGTGGGAATACATTCATCATTCTGCCTGTAAAGTTATATTGCTTTCTCGGTCATTGAGGGACACAGGAAGTCTTTCACCTTTTGAGTTATACTGCTGCCTACAGGAGAATTCAACACTGAGGGCAAAATAAACTGCAGGCCTCTCCAAGATAGCTACCCATTACCTCCTACTACCAGCATGCCTCCCTTGTTTGCTAGTGCCCTAGGAGCTGCTGTGTAGAAGACTAACCTATTTTTGCTATCACTTTCTTTTCTTACACTTAAAGACTTTTTTTCCTTCAAACAAGACTCCTCTCTATATCACTGCTAGAGTTGTCTATACCATCACAGCTAAACTATACCATGTCTACCATTCTATACTATCGCATGGTCTATCATGGGACATGAAAGGAATGCTTCACTTGGTGTGAGCACAGAGGTTCTGCCTTTTCTATATTGTCTTAGAGACCCTTGGCCTCTCACTCTTTGATTAGAACCTTTGTGTCTCATGTAGCTCACTCAGTTTGTTCCCTGTGAGATCCGAGTCGGGTTCCCTCTGTGCTTCAGAATCCACCATTTGAACAAATGAGAGATTTTCCGCTCTACTCTCACTCACAAGGTGGCATTTCTTGTAGCCATTTCCTCTGCAAGGTAAGGGTCTAAATTGGTGGCCTTATCTTGCAAGGAACCCTTTCCAGTTTTGGACAAGTTGATGTTGAGACCCACAACATCCTTCTCGCCTATGGTAGTTTTTGCTTTTACCCTCAACCAGGATATTATTCTTGCATCCCTTTGGCCAGCTCCAGTTCACCAAAAGGTAATTTCCCTCCTTTGTCTGGATGACTCTCCCAGGCACTGCTTCTCAGAAAGACTCTTTTTTTTGTTATCCCGGATGTTCCTTTTAAGGGTACACCGGTTTCTATTTCCACTATCTCTAGGTGGTTCAGCCAGATCATCATCTAAGCTTATGGTGTTAAGGATTGCTTTCCACCCTTTCCTGTCAAGGAGCATTGTGCCATTTAGGCTTTTCAGCATCAAGCAACTGTTTCCCAGATTTACAAGACTTCTGCCTGATTTTCTGTTCGCCCACATTCTAAGGTCCTCCAGGTGGACACTGCAACCTCTTCTGATGCCAGCATTGGGCATAAGGTTCTTTAGGAGGCTCTTGAGCTGCAGATGTGTTTGTATGCTGTATTACCCACCCCTCAGTTAGACTGCTTTTGGAAAACCTGAAGGCAAAAAAGACGTCTTGTGTTTTTCAATGGACAAGAAAGAAAATAGGATTTTTGCACTCACAATAAAATCCTTTTCTTTGAGTCCATTGAGGGACACAGGTCCTACCCCTCTATGTTCATGGTCATGCTCTTGGTGCTGCTTGCTACAAAACTAAGGTATACTGGAAGTAAAGGAGGTTATCCTGAGCTGCCCTACGCTTTTTTGTTTAATCCTACCATATAACCCAAAAGGTGAAAGTCTTCCTGTGTCCCCCAATAGGAAAGTATTTTACGGTGAGTAAAACTATTATTGTTCCTTATATGTGTACAGAACATTTTGTTCTATTGTATATTTCCACTTGCATTTTGTCTTCAGACATTACAAGCAAAAAGGGAGATATCAACTATCATGTGTCCTAAAGATCTGCATATTAGTAACCAAACCTGACCTTCAGAAGCCCTGCTAATTACCTGATCCAGCATTCCTGTCATTCAATAGCTGTGTCTGGCTGCTTGGAAATATCTTCAACTCTATACTGTCTGGAGACTGGGCACTGGTGTGTGAATGTGAGGTCCGCAGAGCATTCAGATATTGCAGCCGAGAGACCTGGATCAAGAACAAAGACGATCTCAAAACAGAGAGAATGCTCATGAAATAAAAAAAGAAGGGTTATTAGCTATTGGACCTGTACTGCTTCAATAAAAGTGAACAGGAAGTGCCATGTAAAGTAGAAAAAGTGTTGCTATTCACCTGCTATTGTTCAGACCAGATGCCACTGAACCAGAATGCTTTTGGGTCATATTTCGCCCACATAAAAAGGTCTGTGGCCCAGATTTCCATTATTTACAAGGAAACCATTGTATAAGCAGACCCACATTGATGCTTTTGGTTTTTAGCAATCAAAGAAGCCAATGCGGATCATTAAACCTGACAAAAAATAAATAAATAATATGTGAAAATGTTTTCTATTATACTTGCTAGAAAAAATCTGGGAGGACAAATTTGGTGGTACATAAAGCTGTTTCTGATTCAGTGCATTACACAAAAAAAAGAGGATGTTGGTCTCAGCAAACATGTAAAATGGATATAAACCTAGCAACTACTCAAAAGATCCTTCCATAAAGGCAATCCTGGCAGCACAGCTATTATACCTATTCAATGTGTACGCCTCACACACAAACCTTGACTATCTGTAGATCAGACAACGCTCTCACAGAGTAGTCTGGACAGTAGAAGCCAGAGTCTGGAGACTCGCTGTGCTCATGGGCACTGGGTGGAGAGTTAGAACCTAAAATGAAAACAATGAAAAAAAAATGAATAAAACCAGCCTGAATATAAAGTACACATTTAGAATTAAGTAGAGCCAAGCCCAGTAAGGGACCCCTTATGTACTGCTCTCACTTAAAAGGCAAGGACCCAAGGCAGCGACTCCATAATAGGTAAATGCCCCGTTCTCAAACTTTAGACCTTCCTTCCCAATCTCTACCTGGACTTTGCCCTAGGAAACCAAGAAGAATGAAATTAGTATAGGGAACTGAAAATTTAAGCATATATAAAGCCACCTCCGTATTCACCTGTAGAATAAGTACGAAATAGTCCACAGGTTGGCTGCGCAGGTACAGATAGTGTTCAGGGGCGAGCCGTTCACTGTCATCAAATTTAACCTCCTGTGTGACTCCTGGGAGTTTGAGCAAGTGCAAGAGGGCTTTCTCCGACATCCGAGAGGCACTGAAAAGATCCACTTCTGCCAAGCAAACACAGAAAAGCATGTTATCATAGATAGGAGTTTGAGTGATAATACCAGTAATTGTCATTATATAAATACTTCACAACAAGCCATGACTAGAAGATTGCCTTCCTATTGGGATGGGAAATATGTTTTCTATAGAACAAGCTTCAGGTATAATAAACTTTTCAAAGATGTTAGGGAGGCATTTACCTTACACAAACATGTCAAACACAAGGCCCGCGGGTCGAATCTGGCCCGCCAGGCAATTTTATGTGGCCCTCGCACCCCTCCCGCAGCTTTACATTTTTAAAACAAAGGTCCCCAGCAAGGTCCCGGCAGCCTTCCTGTGAATCGCGGCACCAGTTTACAGCGGCTGTCAACAATTTCCTCCTTCCTGTGGATCCACACCGCCCGCACAGGCAATTGAGAGTCCGCACAGCTTACCATAGAACCTGCACAGCTACCCGAGAGCCTGCACAGCCCACCATAGAACCTGCACATCCACTTGAGAGTCTGCACAGCCCACCATAGAAAGTGCACAGCCACCTGAGAGCCCGCACAGCCCACCATAGAACCTGCACATCCACTTGAGAGTCTGCACAGCCCACCATAGAAAGTGCACAGCCACCTGAGAGTCCGTGCAGCCCACCACAGAACCTGCACAGGCACCTGTCCACTATATATCTGAATGGAAGGGATATGCTTTTTCTAAGACCCCATAGCCAGTATTAAAGGTTTTTCGTGTTGTACGATTCAACATCACTATGGAAGGAACCCTTTTTAAAAACAGCAACAAGCAACATTTTTTTTTAACCAATTCTACATGTAGGGGCACATAGGGGTAAACAGGCCCCAAGGCTATTGGCAGAAGAACTTAACCTGAGGCAAAAATGGGCTGACATCCAGGTCTCTGATCTAGGCAAAATATAAACTGGTATAGAACAAAACAGCAAGAATAGTCATCTTCCTCATTGTTTATCAAGCGAGCTCTGTCACAGAAATCTATGCCATGTCATGCTGTACATGACAAAATATAAGAACACAAAAACTTGTTGTCTGCAAATGCATTGCAAAGCAAAGACTGGGCTCACATCAATGAAGTATAGCTCCCCTCCTATTGAATTTGTGCTTTCAAGGCATACTATTTCATACTGCAAAACTAAGCTACACAATTCCATAGGAAAAATAAATGGCAAATAAACTGCTATGACCTATGCCAGGGATGGGCAACTCTGGCCCTTCAGCTGTTGTGAAATTACAAGTCCCACTGCAAGACTGACAGCCACAGGACTGACTCTCAAAAGCAGAGGGATTATGGGATTAGTAGTTAAAGCACAGCTGGAGGGCCAGAGTTGCCCATTTCTGGTCTAAACCCTAGAAAGGACAAAAGTATCCCAATTTAAGAAATTGCACAATCACTCAAACAAATATAGGTGCATTTTACAATACAAATATGAGAGCAAATGTAGAATAAATTTGGCTGTACATGTTTCATTCAAGCCTAAATATACACACAGGATTTCCTTACAACATTTAAGGCCCAAAAGACATATTAGCCCTTTCCCTGCCACTGACGCAAGTCATACGGTGCAACAAAACTGTTCCCAAACCGCCAGGTCAGTATGCCTTACGGCGGTGGCATTTACCGTTCTGCTATAAGCTCATGGTCGCCTTAGCGACCATGAACTTATATTAGAACTGTTCCCTGGACGGTTCCCTTTAAATTAATAGCGGTCATCAGTGGCTCACAAGCCGCTGATGACAGCTATTAACAATCTTCAGACTCTCCTCCCTGCCTGGAGCCGCTCCAGGCAGGGATCTGTGTCTCTATGGATCCCTTCTGCTCTCCCCCCGCTTGTATGGGCTAAGGCAGCTGGGATCCAAATAGAAATGGCCGTCGAGGGGGGCGGAGGAGTGAGCCGCTCGATCACGATGATCGAGCGGCATGAGAGGGCAGCGAGTGGGGAGGAGAGAGAGGAGCCGCTGTCATCCTGTCAGTTTCAGGATGACAGCGACTGTGTGTGTGTGTGGCCGAGTGGAGGATTGTTAAATATCAGTGATCCTCTGTGAGAAGGACAAACAGTGGAGTGAACCTCTGATCACTCCAGTGTTTGTAAATAACTGGGGATACATAGTACTACCGGTATGTGTCCCCAGTTATGAATGAACAGGATGTTATTTACATGAATTTCTCAATGGGGAGAAGCACTCACTACAGAGGCTTCTCCCCATTCAGAACCTGGTTGATAATAAATATTTTACTATCAACAGTTTATGAATGAATGGGAAGTCTCCGAGTGCTTTCCATTCATTTAGAACAGAGGCTGCAGAAAAAGAGATTTAGGACTCGGATTTCCTTTTCCATCTGTTTAGACACCAGATATTTCACTGTAATCCCCCCCACAGTAAAAAAAAAATTAATAGAAATATGACCACAAAAACCCCCCTCACCCCACACACAGAACATACACATGCACCATATTGTGGTGTACGCCGTGCACATGCGCTGCAGTGCGTTGTTAGAATTAGGGATGCACCGATATATCGGCCGAAAATGTCACTTTTGGCTAAATGCTATAGCGGTGCATCCCTGCTTTCTCTCCTCCCTGCTGGGCCCTGCTCTGTGTCGCAGCGAGGAGGAGAGAAAGTGTGACAGCCGGCCGAGCGCTGCAGGAGGAGAGCGATGTGAGCGGCCGGCAGTAGTAGCACCATCTTTTTATTCTGCCGGGCCTGTACTTTCAAGAAATATATGGTTTGGGGGGGAGGGTGTGTCTTTTACAAACGCTAGCAACGCAGCAATTGAAAATTAAAACAATGGGAAAAAAATGGTCTGGTCACCTGCGGTGCAAAGCATTCCGGAGGGCTTGGCAGCGAAAGGGTTAAAAGAAGCCACCAGAGCAACTAGAGAAATCCTAAGATGATCTTTTTCAATGTGTTCCTCAGGATAGGAGACACAGAGGGTGTGGTAGGGTAGGGATTTCCAACGACTTCTCATTTTAGAAGGGAGGTGGGCAATTTGTGAGCCATAGTCGGACGTGGTGCACTTTGTTATATTTTCATTCTTTGTGATTTCCCTTATACTAAGGGTGATATGATAAGGATGCAACTGTCAGGCCAGATCAAAATGTTCATGCTACCGTGAATAAATATAAACAAAGCTACAAGGGTCAGTCAAGGCAGAGATATTGATCAAGTTACACTAGAAGGCAGGACAGAGCACCGACTAACATGGTGTGGACGGTGAACTAGGTCATGGAACGTACCCTGAGATAAGAAGCGCTGAGTGGCCAGCAACAGCTGCGGTGATATCTTGACTTTCTGTTCCACGTCACCACCCTTGAAAAATGACAGGTCTTCTCCTCCACGTGGTATTGGAATTGGATGCACTTTGGGATGCTTCTTCTTTACTGCTTGTTCTGAAGGAAAAAATGTGAAATAAAAGATGGATAAGACAAAGCAGCTATACTTGGCCCTGTCACACAGGGTGTGACCACACAAAATCAGATTTTAAACAAGAAATATAAGAATGATAGCAACTCAAAAAGCTCCTAATCATTCTAAATTTCAGATTATCTGTCATGGCAAACATTGAAAACCATTGATACGTGCTCTTATCACCTCCACAGATCTGTCTAGTATGCTGGGGTGAAGCTGTCCATACAGGGGGCAGATATCTCACCAAAAATAGATCATAAGACATCTACATGTTCTTAAACCCATCTCAGCCAATGTGTGTTGGCATCCTACATGCAGTGATGCACTCATTCCCTTCTCTTCAAAGTAAAGACAATATATAGCAGTTGGAATTTGTTTTGTGTACAGCAATGTGCATTTCAGGCAGGCACAAAGGATCATTATAAAAAGCAAATCTAAAGCCAGAAATAAAAATGTTATATATTGCAGCGTCCTTAGACGAGATGGATGCATTTAGCTTTCGAGCAATTTTCCTTTAGTTTCATCGGGCTATCCTTTAAATAACACACCTCAGTAACTGGGTGGCTACACTCTCTCCTCCACTGTAACTATGAATAGAGCAATGGTTGCCACTCATGCTGGACTACAATCAGGTTTGTTTTTGTTTACCTCCATAACATTCTATTTACAGAAGAAGGATGATATTGTTCTGTGCTTCCAGGATAGCTCACAGGAAGTGACAAGGACACTGTAATTCTGGCAAGATCAACAGATATTTTCTGTACTTACTGAAATTGTTAGCCTGAAAAACAACTAAAGCAGCCACCACATCTAAGGAAAGGTATGCTGCAATAAATTACATTTATTAACTAGAGTTTAGTTATCCTTTGGCCCTACATGGACCAATCACAACATGTGATGCTTGACATGAGGTTGTTTGTACGGAAAAAGCGCTGTAGAGAATTCTTACATTCCGGGTAACAATGAAACAGACTAAGGCAGAGCTGGACAAATTCCAGGAGTCAGGCAGCCACTGCGCTTGACACGCATTTTATAGTGCAGGCCGCTGTGAACAAGTCCAAAAGTGCTGCTAGTGATAATCTGATAGTTCAGAGTATTTGTAATCTACAGGCTAGATTCACACGCAAGCCTCTTCGTTTTTCGTGCTTGTTTTAGAGCATTTTTTTATGCACTTTTCACGCTTCATATGTTTTTGCTTTGCACAATGACAAGCAAGTTGCAAGCAAAATTTTTCCAAAAGGACAGGCAGCATATTAAAAAACAGACAAAAGGAATTCCGGTTCGGGCGCCTACCGCAGAGGCTGCACATGTCGCGTGCTACAGCTCCATGGAACTGAATCCAGCATATAAAACCACATTCCAAATACTCCGACTACGCAAACTTACCGGGACAACGTTTACCAGCCGCACGTTGAACTCCACATGGATAAATATGTGGCCTGAACCAAAAATCGTTCCCTTTCGGGGCTCCAGATGAATCGGAAGGCGAGATGGAGCTAAGAAGCACAGATCTTTACGCAATAAAAGCGATGACTTCGAAAACAGGTCCAGATGCAACAATCTCAGAATTGTGGGCCTTCCTGAAAACTACCATCCCACAACGTTATCTGAACTCTGCTCCCGTACTATCCCCTCGCTTTTAGGCCTTTCACGGTGGAACGGGCTCACCGCCTAGGCCATCAGAAACAAGACTCGCAACGTCCTTGCACGGTGATCGTCAAATACCTTAATTATGCTGATAAGTCACTGATACTCAAAGCTTCACATACTACCACCTCTCTGCAAATTGATGGTCACAAGCTCTTAATCTTTGCTGACTACTCAGTCAACAACAAAAAGCTTTTGCGGACATATGTAAGGCACTCCATCAACGAGCCTAGGTTTCTCTTTGGCCTATTCCGCAACTTTACATCTACAGTCCTCATATGGGGAGAAAAAGATCTTTACTACTCCTACATAAGCCTCTGCTTTCCTGGCATTGATGTCCTTCCCTGACCAAGAACAACGCACTCAATCTAGTGGCAAAAGGATGAGGTTATTGCCACCGTCACCACATAAACCTCCCAATGCGTCCAATTGTGAAGTACTCCTGACTTGAATCTTTCTATATGTAACCTGGGATTGTAATTTCATGTCTACTCTCAGACTGTCCAGCCATTACTTTTATCCTACCACCTTTTGAGTGATGAGGAACCGTCATGGAACCCTCTTTTTACAGGATCATCCCTGCTCCTAGAAAATGTTTTTTTGTTTTGTTTATATTTCTCAGAACCATTGTTTATTTTATTGGCCCTAACATTTTGAACTGTTTTACTCCCAGTAGATTCGATGTAGAGTTTTCTGCGGGTATTCACCTGCCCTTTGATGTTGTAGGACCTTTGGAATTAGGTTTAACAGCGCTAGCAATACTTGCTTAACGATAATTGTTCTATAAGACCACACGATAACCCTTTTTATTGATTTTTTATTTAGATGTCAGAGATGTTTGGTTTGTCTGTTATGGTTAGGCAACAGATAACTGGTCCTGTGTAGAGAAAAGCGGGTGGATTGTGTTAGTGCAGGTGAAAAAGGGAGTCCTATGCTGTAACTCATGTTCATCTACCTGAATAATTTGTTTCTTTTTTTGCTGTTTACTGTTTTTCTACATGTGCTCTTTTTCAGACTCACACCAGCTCTGCCTCTTCTTCATCATCATCAGTCTGAGTATCCTTCTCTTTTAGCCTTTCCACCCAATCTCTAAAGCAGTGGTGTCCCTATGCAGGCATTATTATCTGGTTCTATTGCAAAGTCATTATCTTAACGAATAGATCCTTTCTCCCTACTGCATAAATGCATGGTTTATTGCAATTTAAAGTGATCTCCTGGAATGTGAAAGGCCTCCGATCCCCTCACAAACATTCTAAAATATTACATCACTTAGCTAAACTGAAAGTAGATATTGCATTGTTGCAGGAAATGCATCTTTCACAATCTGACCTTCCTCGTCTCCGTAAATACTGGGTAGGGGACGTACTTGGTTCCCCATCTAATGGTAGGAAAGCAGGAGTGGCCATTCTGTTACGGAAATCGTTACCTTTCCTAATTGTGCACTCTTCTAATGATACTGAAGCCCGAAAAGTTAAAGTACACCTTCGTATTTATAATACTGATTATGTAATTTATAATGTCTATGCTCAAATTCCCCAACAATGGCATTCTTCCAGGAGCTCACTCAATCTATAGCCCAAGAGGGATCTAATAACATTATCATTGGTGGTGATATGAACTCTGTCATCTCTGACTTGGAAGATAGACGCTCCATTAAATGGACGGGTTCTTCTAAATCTCCAACATAACCATCTTTGGCGCAATTACAAGCAATGCTATCCTTGCAGGATGTATGGAGATTGCGAAACCCAGAAGGCAGGAAATGCATCCATTGTTCCCAAGTACATGCTTCTTTATCCTACATTGATTATTTGTTCTGCTCACCCTCCTTACTTCCTAGGGTGGTACAAGCGAATATTAATGAGTTTGTCATCTTTGGCCATGCCCCCATAGACTTAAGGATTAAATCCACACTTCCCAAAGGGGATGCTAACATTTGGATATTTCCCTCTAGTTTGCTTAAAGATCACTCTTTCCAAGAGGTCAACCGAACAGGGTGGAGGGAGTATATTGAGACTAAATCGAGGTTTAGTCACCTCGTCACTTTTATTTGAGAAGCTGGTAAAGCTTTCATAAGGGGGAAGATCATGTAATTTGTTCATGGTAAAACCAAGGCTGTTTCTTCTGAATTCCACCAGGCCAGTGGAGTATTGAGACAGGCCTACTCGGAGTTCTGAGACCACCTTTCCAATCTACGGAAAGACAAATGGATTCAGGCAAAAGGGGAATATGAGACCAGCTTAGAGAAATTTGAATTATACTCTAAATCTCTATGGGACTTGCAAATTCACTAATTTGGCAAGAAATGTGGTAAGCTGCTTGCGAATTTAGCTAGGAGTGGTAAACCTACCTCTCACATCCATTCCCTGACTGATGCAGGAGGTAATAAATTAAACCATTCAAAGCAGATTAATGCACTTCTAGGGGAATATTATTGTTCCTTGTATACAGACGACATAGCTACGTCATCAGATACATATGCCTACCTGGATTCAATACCCCTTCCCAAAATTACAGATTCCCAATTGGAAATTTTAAATACCACTATCACCCAGGAAGAGATTGATTCTACTATCTCTAACATAGCAGGGGCAAAGCACCTGGGCCAGACGGTTACACCTCTGGATTCTATAAATTCATAAAAACAGATCTTATTCAGACACTTTGTGATATTTACTCTCGAATGTGGAGGGATAGAAGATAGATAGACAGACAGACAGACCATTGGCAAATAAAGTAAAATAAGCTTTATCAGCAATACAAAAACTCCCTTTTGGCGCTAAAGCTATGATGTAACTCACATGCAGAATGTTATATAAAATAGTCTGGAGGAAGGGTGGTGCAAATGACTGCAATATAGCAGGGGTCTCAAACTCAAAATTACCTGGGGGCCACTGGCCATGTTTCGGTCTTCCATTGGGGCCGCATGAGGAGAGAAAGCCAGGGAATGGAGCGAGGAGAGAAAGCCAGGGCATGGAGCGAGGAGAGAAAGCCAGGGCATGGAGCGAGGAGAGAAAGAGAGCCATGGGAGAGGGTAGTGACAGCCAGGAGAGAGCGAGAGAGAGAGAGAGAGAAGGGAGACAGCCAGGAGAGAGCGAGCGCAAGGAGAGAGCGAGAGACAGCCAGGGGAGAGAGCGAGGAGAGAGAAAGAGAAGGGAGACAGCCAGGAAAGCGAGGAGAGACAGTCAGGAGAGAGAGAGGGGATAGATAGCGAGCAACACATCTGCCTGAAGCAGAACCCCTGTGCCCTTCAAGACTTATCTGCACCCTGTTTTAGACACCTCCTTGCTACCAGATTTTTAGCATCCCTCCATAACCGGGCCTCCTCCATGTGCTCAAGTTGGAACACCAGGACCCCGTGGTTGCCCCTGTCCACCTGACATCGTGAAATCTTGTGTCCAGCTTTCAACTGGCCTGAAACCCAGACACAACACATACAGGACTCAAAACTTGGACTGTGTGGGTGAATCCCAGACAGGTAGCTACCATAGCTACTCCCCAGGCTGCTGCAAAAGGCAAGAGCCCTCTCTCTGTTCCCGGGCCCGGTACAAGAGGGTCGGCTCTCCCCCGCATTGGTGGCCCTGCCTAAAGTAACTTTCCACAGGCTGGTACGTTGAGACCCCTGCAATATAGGAATGGACACTTGGGAAAAACATTCTTGGTGAGTTGAAAAGGCAAGTATATTCCTCAGTGTGCGGAGCTAGTCATCCTTTGGTCATTAAATAATGTATACATCAGGGAAAAGAGAGGGAAAGCTGTGCTTTGCCTCAGCCCATCCCTCCCCGCTACCAATACAAAGTCGCACACTTACTGTAATCCTCGGATTCATCCAATATCTCCGATTTTATAATCTCCTCAATAACATCCTCCAACGTGACCAGCCCCATCACCTCGTAGAATGGATCGCCTTCTCCTTCATTGTTCACTTTCTGGACCATAGCCATGTGAGATTTACCTGCAGAGAGGCAACAGACAGACATAAAAGACAGTGACAGGATATGAAATAAGAGAACGGGCCCGACACAATATCCATTACATGCAATGATGAGGGATACAAGACGTAATAAGTTACTATGGAAAGCTTCAGCTTCACGTGACACTGAAATATATGCACCGGAAGGACCACTGCCACATACCTTATAAAGGATGATTATTATAATGGAATAGTTTTCATGTCAGTTAGGATATTTGATTCTATGAACGCTATTCCACGATCCATCACACTTCATTGTAAAGCAGTTATTTCCTTGCACTCCTTAGAGGCCTCAATCATCTTCGGAGCATGATCTAGCCCTACCCCTAAGCATCCCCTTACACTCTGCACAATTTGGGAACAAGCAGCACACACAGAGACTTGTATGTGCGCAAGCACACATAAACACATACGTGCTCTGGCATAGCCAGGGCCTTCTCACCCTTTTTAAACTCCTCCAGCACAGCGTCCAACTTGGTGTCGCTAAACACAAAGTGGACAGGGTGACTGTAGAAGCGGGTAATGGTGCTCAGAGGGGTGCAGTCATCTGGATCCACATAGGCCAAGTCTTTCAGATAGAGAATATCCACAATGTTGGAGCGCTCGTTCTCATAGACGGGTATGCGAGTGTAGCAGCTCTCCATGATGCTGGACATGGTGCTGAAATCCAGGTGGGCATCATTGGCTAGCATGAAGCAGTCTTTGACAGGCGTTAGGATATCTTCCACCGTCCGGTTCCTTAAGGCCCCTTTGCTGAATTCGTCCCTCACCAGCTCGCTGTAGGGGTCCCCGCACCTGGCCATCTCTAGGATGCGCAGCCTCATGTAGCAGCGGCTCGGGTCTTGGCCGGTCATCTTCTCCAGGAGCCAGGACAGAGGGAACGAGACGATCCCAGGAAGGAGCAGGAAAAAGTGAGTGAGCCAAAGGCACTTGGAGGCCAGCCACGGACCCCAGCGGGAGCAGATGGCAGCTGGTAGAGCTTCCCCGGCCAACAGGAGCAGCCCGGCCGCGGAAAAGATGGCACCAGCGATTGAGCCAATGACCTGATACAGCAAGACGGCCACAGCGGCGTTGGCGATACAGCACAGGGTCAACAGGGAAATGAGCGTATAACCGCCCCAGCGAGTCCTTAGGTAGTCCAGCCGAGTTGCGCCCAATCTTTCGGAGGGGGAGCCCCAGTCTCTGAGGATACTAAGTTCTGGCGGTTCCAGGGCCAGCGTGCTCAACTGCAGGCCACGGAGAAGGCCGGAGAGCAGCACGCACAGGACAATCAGAAAAGCCACCAGCCAGGTGGCCAAATATTCATCGGTGGATCCAACCTTGTCCTGTCCATTGGCCACAAAGCGGTCACACGCCCGTTGTTCTACCCCAGTCAGGGACGACTTCTCACCATTCCCCGAAACCGAGAAAAGTGTGTCCCCCACTGAATAAAGGACCCAATCGTTTCCATGGCGAACGCACAGGGGGTACAGGAGGCCTTTCTGATCCGTGACCCCGTCCCTAACGTGGACGGCGACCAGGCACGAGCGCTCGCCGCAGACCAGGAACTCTGGGAGCAGCTGCAAGGGTGCATCTGGGGTAGAAGTGCAGCCTTGGCCCCCAGGGGACCCAATGGAGAGCCAGGGCCAGGTATCATTGCTGAGCCCCAAGCCACACAGGCGGAGGAGGAACACGGAACCTGGGCGAGCACTGATTATACCTCCGCTGAAAGAAACTCCACTTCCATCCTCCAAACGCACCCCCAGCACCTGGGCCTGCCCGCCGCCCTCACCTACCAACGGAGTTACCCCCAAACCGGCCACTAACAGCAGCCGCACAGCTGCAGCGGCCATGTTAGTGGAGGAAAGGCCACGCCCCCCCCACTACCCCCGTCTGCACCAATGCGCTGCGGCGGCCGTGAAACAACGTAGCAAATGAGGACCGAGCCAAGCGTCGCCGACCAATAGGAAACGGGAGGTGCGCCCGATGGGCGGGGCTAGGTCTGAGCAGCTGTAAACAAGGAAGCGAGCCAAGAGCGAGCTTAACCCCTTCGTTGCCGGGAGATAATTCATCCAAACAATGAAGGGATGGAATGCAGCAGAACACAGGCGCCATTCTATCCTCTAATAAACCCAGACAATAAGCTCCCAGCTATGTTGCAACACGGTAATGCCATTCTCAAAGGTTGTCTGAAGTAGGTTTTAAACCTACAGCTGCTGTTAAAAATAATCCCTTGTGATCCTACAGGAAGTTCTTCCTGTTGCGGGGTGACAACTATCTACCTTTTGCACTCCTGTGTTGTCACACACTTTGAGACTACAAGCTGTTGTGTTAGCATGCAGAGAGCGGGTCCTGACCAGCATGAAGACAAGAAGTCCACTCACCTGTGCGCTTTCATCTGTTTTGTAATGCATTTTTTCATGCATTCTGCGATGGAGTGGGCGATTGTTATGCGCTAAAACGCATGCATTGTTAATTGCACACCATAAGAAGCGCCTACAAACGGGAGAGCATGAATTACACATGTAACATGCATATTCATGTGTTTTGGTGCATGACAACAAACCCCAGCCCCAAGCAACCTATTTTATACCAAAAATGCATAACGTATAAAAACACACGAGTTCGACTCGAACATTGGTAGATCATGTGTTCGGCGAACACATGAACTGTCAGGGCGCTCGTCAGGCTGTTGGGCCGCCGAGTGCCCCGCTAGGTACTGTGCCTTGTGAGCCCTGATTGGCTAAAGCCTTGCACCTGACCACAGGTCAGGTGCAAAACTTTGCCCGATCAGGGCACAGAGAACTGTAAGAGCCATGATTGGGCACAGTTATGATGACTCTGCCCAATCCTGGCTCACATGTTACAACTGTAAACAGTTGGGCAGAGTTAGCTCCGCCCAATTGTTTATAGGTTGCCGGCTTCTCTCTAAATGCCATTCTGTGCCCGGTGTATGTGGTGAGCAGACGGGATGGCGGTCGTCGGGGGTTTTTTAAAATTATTATTTCTATTTATTTTTTATTTTGTCGAGTTGTCGTTGTCCTGGACAACGCTGGACGCCGTGATTGACCCTGGATTACATCAGTGGATCCATTTATTTTTTTGTTAGAACTAAAAGACTTGTCAAAAACTTGTCTTTTGGGTTTGTTTTCAAATAAAGGATTTTTTCAAAAGTCTGGACTTATTATTTAACCCTTTAGTGAATGGGTAGGGATATAAGTACCTCTTACTCATTCACAAGGGGGGAACACATCTATTAAAGGGGTACCCTGATGTAAATAAGCCCCCTTGCCCGCATCCCCACCCCACAACCAATGCCCCAGGGCTTGTGGGAAAGCGGCCCTTGTCCCCATCAGCACAGGCACAAGGTGCTTTCCCCGGGGGCGTCCCTGGAAAAGCACCCTCCCAGTGCCGAGGGCATGTGTCCTGGTATGGCAAGGAGGGAGGGCCGCTCCCTTTCCTGCCCTGCCAGGCCTATGCTCGGACCAAGGGTCTGGTATGGAATTTCCCTCCCCCCCCATTTTTTAAAATTCCTACCAGACCTTAAGGGTCTGGTATGACTTTGGGGGAGAACCCCACGCTTTTTTAAGAAAATTGGGTCCCTCCTAACATTTCTACCAGACCTAAAGGGTAGAAATGTTTGGGAGGGTTAACCCTTCACTTTTTTTTTTTTGTTTCTTTACAAATGTCAAATTAATGGCAGTCAGAACAACTGACCTGTTGCCGTGGACAACTCGGACACGTACCTATCCAGCTTCCACTTCATTCCCTCTGTGTCCTGCAAAACCAAAACATTTAAAATTCCTTTATTATTGCTGTGGTCTGTCTGTCCCTTAACAGGACCGAGGCTTCATTCACACTATGTGCGATTAGATGCTTTTATGTGCACTTAAAAAGCTTTTGTAAACGCATACATATGCATCTAATGGGTATAGTCACACATTTTGCGTCTAGATGCTTTTATCTGCAGCCAGTTTATCTGCGTTTAAAAAAAATAGAAGTCAGGTGCATGTCGGAATCAATTTGAACTTTTAAACGCACCAAAATGCATGTAAATACATTCTAATGCAAGGATTTAGTGCCAGATCCATCTAATTGTATATACATGTAAACACGCCTAAAACATGTGAATGCACTTCATTTACAGCATCTAGAAGCATAAACGCAGCATCCAGCCTGATAAATCTTCTTCCAAATATGGGGACAAAAACTCAAATGGCGAGTGTGAATGAAGCCTCAGGGCTCGTTCACACCATCTGCGTTGAGGCTGCGTTGGCCCTTTTCTCCAGCACAGCCCAAAACGCAACACAAGACATATTGTCTCGTCATGGGTGGCTACAGTTCACACCACTGCGTTCCAGTGTGCGTTTAAAAAAAGTATGCCATGCAGGTGGAAGTACACAACATATTTCAAGACTATTTACAAGCAATATATTAGATGAAGTGTAAACCTTAAGTTTCGGTTGAACCGGCTTCTTAAACCATGAATCTTATAGCCACTTTTCTGAGGACAGTTAAGATCCAGACATCCCAACTCTGCCGTACCTTTCGGGAGTCTCCCACTATTAGAGAGAGAAACATTTTCCCCCAGAAAGGTTTACTCTGCTCAGTAAACCTTTCCCTGCTGTTTTTTTTTGTACTCTGATATCGGAGCCGCCGGCAGAGTAAAAAAAAAAGAAGAGCATAGGAATGAATAGCTAGATTGCTATTGGCTATTTGAATTTGCAATAGCAGACTAGCTATTGCACCCGCCCACTGCTGCTGTCCTCCATCCATGACGTTCTCCATCAGGTCCTCCCTCTGCTGATTGACAGCAGAAGAGGGCAGGTGCAATAGGCAGCTTGCTATTGCAAATTGAAATAGCCAATGGGAATCTGTCTAGCTATTGATTCCTATGCTGGGGTTTTTTTTTCATTTTTTTATTACGGCAGCAGCTGTCAGAATACTAAAAAAAAAAAACCAGTAGATAGCAGGGGAAGCATTAGCTTCTTTGCTATCTGCCATCATTTCAGGAGGGGCAGAGGGCAGTAGGGCACCTCCCTGAAATTACTTTTTTCTGGTTGGGATCCCTGTAGATCTGACCTGGGCATTTTATGGCCCGCAGGTCACAACTGGCCCTTTGGCTGTCCCTGTCCAGCTCACAGTCTGGACACAGAACAATCGCTTATCTGCACTCCATTATGGCTGGGTAATAGTGAATGCACTGGCCTCGTAGGCCAGTACATCCACTGGAAGCCATAGCTGAGTGCAGGCCCCCCCTCCTCTTAAGTCATTGCTTTTATTTTGCTGTTGTATATATATTTTGTCTCTTTTTATTATTATCTTTTTCTGTATATTTTCTGCACCGTTTCTTTTATTAAAGGACGATCTTTAAAAATCGTTAAGCTTATCTCTACGCTCTTAATACTAACTTAAAGTATCCTTGCCTCTGTGAAGAATGCTAGTGCATAGTGAATCCTGTCATATCCCTATCTGAGATGACAGCGCTATCATAGGCATTAAGTGTTTTAAAATTGTCACAGCACTTGCTGGGCACGGTCTGTGCTTCCGTTAAAAAAACACATGGTGGCAGTGAATGTTTGGTGGGTAAAGGGTTAACTGCGGAGTTAACCAACCCTAGTGACGATCGCTCTCAGTCTGCTGGCCTGAGATTGTGTCCCGCGAGCTGGGGAATCTCTATGCAGGGTGAGACAGAGTGGTATCGCCATGTCCTTGTGATGCCATGCCCGGTTCAGAACTGCATATAGTCACGTGTGATGGACATACAGTGGGTTTGGGTCGGGCGTAAGTCACATCCACCTTCTCTACAATCATTGGTTGCTAGGACCACTGTGTGGTCCTAGCAACCAGTGACATCAAATGTGTTCCCCGCACCCAGCATATCTTCCTCAGTCCTCACCTGCAGCCTGCTTTACCTCCCAGCTCCCGCCTCTGGCTGACTAATAAAGTAGGAAAATGAGGTATGCGAGAACAATATAAGGGGGCCACTCTAATGGGAACATTAGCTGTCCCCATCAGAGTGCCCCCCTTAAATTAACTACAAAAGTGGGGGCACTTTGATGAGGACAGACAATTTTAAGGGGACACTAATGGGGACAATTATAAGTTGCATCCATCGCAGTCACCCCCTACGAGATTTTTATTTTTTTAGCAATTTACGTTTGTGAGTGTGCCTGTGCACCTTCACAGTAATGTGTTGGCCCTCCACAACAGTCCCACTTTGTCACGGGCAAGGGCTGGATTTCACACAAGGCCAACTGAGGCCCGGTCTCGGGGCAACACGGAGTAGAGGGGCCGCTGGGGTATGGAATTCCTATCTCCTGACGCCCGTGACATGCACTTCCTGGCGCCAGGTGGGTAGTTTTCTACATTTAGCCCTGCTTTGGGCAAGCAGAGCTGAATGTACAGTGGGGAAGCCGCCACTTGTTTTGTACAAGTGATCTCGGCCATGTCACCGAGATCACTTGTATGCAGCCTCCATACAGACGAGCCCTCTGAGGAACCTGGCATTGGGGCAGCAGAGAGAGTAAATCTGGCCCTGCATGTGGCCCCTTGAGAAATTTAATTGCCCAACCCTAATTTAGATGCTGGTTAAGAGGTCATCCCTCCAGCAGGATTCACTACTTTAAAACCTAACTCTGGGGCACAATACACTTATTGCAGTTCAGCAAGCTGAATAGTCCCTTCACTGTAAACACCCCGGCCATAATAGGATCTTCCCTCTTCTCCCTACAAATCTTAAGTGTACCTGCAGGTGGAGGTCCACCCCCTGCTTAACTTCTGTTCCACCCCTCCAGCTTCAGGACTCCTAGACCTAAGCATTGTGGTCACATCACTGTCCCCCTCTCCCCCATGGTCAGTCACAATATAGAGCCTGGGGCCATTTCATTTGTT